CTCTCCAGCTCCTGGGAGACATCCTGATCATTGTGCTGGCCACACACTTCACCAAGGACTTCAGCCCTGCCTGCCAGGCCACTTGGCAGAAGCTGGTCGGGGTGGTGGCCCATGCTCTGGCCTACAAGTACCATTAACCCCCAGAGGAAGATGTGTCTGTAACAGTCAATAAAAACCCTACTTGTTCTGGACTTCTTGGAGTGTTCCCGTGTGTCTGTGGCTGCCTGTGGGGAGGGAGATGAAAGGGGGAAACTGGGCTCTGGGGACCATCGCTCTCCAAGAAAGGCAGCAGGGCTGGCCAAAGGGTTGACTCCTTCTCTTGGCTTTTTGGGCTCTCTCCAAAAGGCATCAGCCTGTTCTGCTGCTGCCTGATGCCCAGGGGGCTGGACCTGCACCCCGAGCACAAAGTGCTGCTGGGGTGCCTGTAGAATCTCAAACTGGTTTGGGTGGGAAGGGACCTCAAATCCCGCCCAGTGCCCCCCCTGCATGGGCAGGGACACCTCCCAGCAGCCCAGGCTGCTCCAAGCCCCATCCAACCTGCCCTTCAACACCCCCAGGGATGGGGCAGCCACAGCTTCCCTGGGCAGCCTGGGCCAGGCTCTCCCCACCCTCACAGCCCAGAATTTCTCCCTCCCATCTCAGCTCCAGCTCCCTCTGCCAGCTGGAAACCCTTCCCCCTGCTCCCATCCCTCCCTGCCCTTGTCCCAAGCCCCTCCCCAGCTTTCCTGGAGCCCCTTCAGGCCCTGGAAGCTGCTCTCAGGTCTCCCTGGAGCCTTCTCTTCTCCAGGCTCAACACCCCAACTCTCCCAGCCTGGCTCCAGAGCTGCTCCAGCCCTCCCAGCATCTCCGGGGCCTCCTCTGGCCTCTCTCCAACAGCTCCGTGTCCTCCCTGTGCTGGGGACCCCAGAGCTGTTCCCAGCCCTGCAGGGGGGTCTCAGCAGAGCAGAGCAGAGGGGACAATCCCCTCCCTGGCCCTGCTGGTCACACTGCTGGTGACACAGCCCAGGACACGGGTGGGTTCTGGGCTCCCAGCACCCTTGAGTCCTGCTGTCTGAAGACACAAGACATTCCAGAGCAGAGAGAAGGTCCTGGCCTGGGTCCAGAGCAGCAGAGGCTGGTGCTGCTGCCATCCCTGCTGATAAGGGCTCTGGTAAAGCTTGGCTTGGGACACTGCCTGCTGCAATCAGAGTGACCAGGAACTGCTGCTGGTTCAGAGAGGCTGTCACTGCAGCTGCCTGTCCCTGCCATCGGGGTGGTTTACAATTCTTTTTATCCCATTATAGAATAATGCTGGTTGGAAGGGATCTTGAAGATCACCAAGTCCATCCATAGCCCAACTCCCCCTGCCACAACCTGATCTACCCATTCAGTGCTTCAGTCCTGTCCCTCAGCACCACATCCCTGTTTCTTCTAAACACTCCCAGGGATGGTGACTCCCCCACCTCCCTGGGCAGCTGTTCCACTGGCCAACCACTCTTTGGGTAAAGAAGTTCTTCCTAATATCCAGTCTAAACCTCCCCTGGAGCAGCTTCAGGCCATTTCCTCTGGTCCTGTCCTTATTCACTTGAGAGAAGAGGCCAATCCCACCTCCTACATCCTCCTCCCAGGGAGCTGTAGAGAGAAATGAGGTTAGTTGATCTGTAAAAAGGGAATGTCCCAGTCCATGGAAGTGAGGATGGTCCAGAGTGGCACCAAGAGGTGAACAGCTGATGGGACCTTCCACCCACACCTGATGCTTGAGGGCAGAGTCCTGAGCACAGTGAAATACACCCTGGGCAGACAGGAAAATGGTGGCTGGTTTTCCTTCTGGGAAAACCACAGATCCCCAGAGTGGTCTGGGTGGGAAGGGACCTGAAAGCCCATCCAGTCCCACCCCTGCACCCTGGGTCTAGAGGCCCAGTCAAGCAAAAGGGTGGAAAAAACAGCCACAGTTTTTTAAGGTCTAGGAACTGCAGGGAGAAATGCCAGAGGCCAGGGCTGGAAGAACTTATTGACAGTTTTATTTGGAGCAGGCAGATAAGAGAGAATCTGCTCCTCAGATTTGTAAAGACACTTGCCAAGGAGAAGAGGAGAGGAAATGCTTCATCCTGAGCCCAGGGAGAGGGGATCCCTGCAGGGCTGGTTCTGAGCCCAGGCAGCAGAGATGCTGCTTTGCCAGCAGAGCCCATGTCTTTAGGGTGTGAGGTGCATGAAATACCAAAATAACTCCTTTTTATTTTCTGATGTAAGCAGGGTTTGTCACTGCTGGTGCCTGATACATCAAAGCAATTCCACTCCTGCCATGCAGACAAGGTTTTATTGCAGGTTTCTGCCAGCAGCCTGAAAATACATGCCTGTTGGGCTCTGCCTTCTGGGTTGATCAGGCTCAGAACTGAGCCCCAAAGCCACCCAGTCACCATCCCCACACAGGAATGAAGCACTGAGAATCTGAAATGCCAGGAATGTTTTCCTCCTCCTGGAGGGACAGCAGGTAAAATGAACTTTTTGCTGGTTTTGCAGAGCACAGCCTGGCCCTGGATTCATGCTGTCATCAGGTTGTGCCAGGGGAGGTTGAGGTTGGATCTGGGGAACAATTTCTCCCTGGCAAGGGTTGTCAGGGCCTGGCCCAGGCTGCCCAGGGCAGGGGGGGAGTCCCCATCCCTGGAGGGGTTTCCAAGCCCTGGAGATGGTGCTGAGGGACACGGGGCAGGGGTGGCCTGGGCAGGGCTGGGGGAATGGTGGGACTGGAGGATCTCAGAGGTCTTTTCCAACCCAAACAGCTCCATAATGCAGTGATTCTAGGTGGGACTGACTGTCCTGAGTGATGTGTCTGATGTTGCCCTTGAGACTGTAACTCATCGTTTTGGCTTCAAGGTGGATCTGCTTTCTCTGGTGACAGGGAATTGCACTGGACATGGGAAACAGGAGAGCTCAGGTCCACAGGATGGGCAACAGTGATGGACAATGATGATGGACACCATTGAGAGCCTCTTTCATAGGACACACATGAAAGGAAACTCTTGCCTTTAACGTGTGGAGCTTAGACTTGGGAGTGATGATTCAGTACTTGTACCAGTAACCCCCTGGTCCTTAGGGCTGGGGTGGATGCTGGGAGGGCTGGAGCAGCTCTGCTCTGGAGCCAGGCTGGGAGACTTAGGGTGTTCAGCCTGGAGAAGAGAAGGCTCCAGGGAGAGCTGAGAGCAGCTTCCAGGGCCTGAAGGGGCTCCAGGAAAGCTGGGGAGGGGCTTGGGACAAGGGCAGGGAGGGATGGGAGCAGGGGGAAGGGTTTCCAGCTGGCAGAGGGAGCTGGAGCTGAGATGGGAGGGAGAAATTCTGGGCTGTGAGGGTGGGGAG